ATTTTTTTTCCCACATAATTAATAATATAAAGTCCAAAATTTATATTAAAAAGCTTTTAAACTTGTTTATATTATTATTTATTTATTATTTATTATTTATTTATGTGCTAAAATTTTATCATTTTGTTATATTTAATATTTATTTAAAGTAAGTTGGTGATCACTGCTTTGAATTTTGTCAAACATATGTACAATTTTATTTGGACATTTGTTTTTGTGTGATTTTGTATTTTTTTTTCTTTTTTGACTATAAATTTAACACACAATCACCCCACCACATTATTCAAAAAACTTTTTTTTTTTTATTTTTTAAATTTTCATTATTGATTGTAGAAAATAATAATAAAAATAAAAATAAAATAAATAAATTTAGAAATATTTAAAATACACAAAGACACACAAAAACACACAAAAACAATATAAAAGTGGGTGAATGTTATTTTAAAACTATAAACATTTTATATGTATGTATGCATCAAATATATTGCATATAACTTATATATATTGTTATTATTGTCACCACTTATTATGTAATCAAAGAATTTTTATATAATAATTATAATAATAATAATGATAATAATAAAATAAAAAAATATTATTACCATATAAAATTTAGTGTTTAGTTATTTTTTTATTTTTTTTTATTTTTTTTTAATAACTACTACTTGTTTACTTGTACAATGTGATTTTAAAAATAAAATATTTGATATCACACATAAATATATACAATATTTTAATAGTTTATATTTATTTAACTAAAACTAAATATAGTTAGTTTCTTGTTAATAATTATAATAACTAATAATAATAAAATAATAATAAAAACATTGTTAATATTATGTTTATAATTATCAATAAATCTCATTATTATTAGAGACGATAAAAAAAAAAAAAAAAAAAGTAACGAATAAATATTATTTTTAATTATTTTTTGTTTTAAAAAAATTTTAAACATATATGTGTTTATAAAAAAAGCGTATTGATGTTTTTATATACATCCTTTTTAGGCTTAACATTATATATAATTTAATAACCTAAAACAAGTTAATTGTTTTATTTTTCATATTTTTTTTTTATTTATTTTTTTAATTTATAAAATTAATAAAACAGAGTTAAAACCAATAAAACAGAATTAAAAATAATAAAATAATAAAGCAAAGTGCATTTTCAATAATAATTTTAAATAACAACATATTCTTATCAAAAAACAAAAAAAAAAAACAGTATATTCAATTTTTATAATTAATAATTTTGTTGATAATGGTAAAACTATAATTATAAAAACTATTTTTTTCATTCTTTTATTTCCCTCAATAATATCAAATAATAATAATAATAAAAAAGTATTTAATTTTATTTCCTAATCATACTTTTACAAAATATATTTTTTATAAAGCATATAATTTATTTCTTTATATAAAATCCTTTTCCTTTATTTTAAATATTACATAATAAAAAAATTACTAAAAGAAAAAAAAAATGTTTTAAAAAAAATAATTTTATATCTTAAAGATATAGGTGTGTTATTTATTCGATTGGTGATTAAATTAACATTTTCAAAATGTTTTTTATTTTTAATTTAAATAAAAAATAAAACAATATATTTTATTATTACTAGAGAAAATATAATTATATTATAATAGTTACAATAAAAATAATAAAATAACAATAATCAATTTTTTATTTATTTCATTTTTTATTTATTTTTTTATTTATTTTGTTTTTGTTATATTAATTATTACTATTAAACTATTTATAATTGCTTGTTATTTAATATAATACGTTACTTGCATAGTTTTTTGTTTGTGTAACATTAATATTTTATTTCATTGTGTTTTTTAATAACAGGATACATTTATTTATAGCATTACAGTTGTGTATATTTTATAATGTAAGAGCATATACATATACACCTCAGCAAAACAGGACAAAATCTTTTTTTTAATTAGCTATCAAATCATAATAATAACATCAAATAGATAATAGCAACTCATTGTTTTAAAAAAAAAATAGCCATATGTTTAATGAATTAATTAGTTTAAAATTAATTAAAATTGAAAAAACATACGATCATTAAACTCCAAAATATAAATCAATGTTTATAGATAGCTATATAGAAAATAAAATTTAATTTTGTGTTTAAAATATACATATGCACTCAAATCTTCAATAACTGTTATTGTTATATTAGTATAAATAATTATAAATTTTAACTTTTTATTATAATTGTAGTAAAACCAAACGTTTGGTTTTTTTTTTAAATTCAAATTCATTTATTTTACACTTTAAACACAACTATCTTTTATATTTTTAATTAATTTCATTTTATAGTTTTATTTTAAAGGTCTCAAATTTGTGTGTTATTTATAGAAAAAAAACCCAAAAAAAAAAAAAAAATTTTTTAAAAAAAAACAATTTTTATAAAAAAAAAAATCTCACACAAAAACTTGCATTCATTTTATTTATTTATTTATTATTTTATTTATAATACACAAAAAATAACCCAGACTTATCATTATTTTAAAAAAAAATTAAAATAAATTCAATAAACACACTCACACATACCAACTAACACCACTCACACAAAAAAAAGTTGAATTATTTTAGAGCGAAAATAAAAACAAATAATAATATTTTACACTAACAATATATACCTATCGAAAATATATAAAAAGATAACTTTTTATTTATTTTTTTAGTGGTGTTGGTTTTTTTTATTTTTTTTTTATTTTTTTTTTTAAATTTAAAAATAAATATAATAATTCTTTGTTTATTTCCCTCTTTCTTAAAAATAAATATTTATATATTAATTTATATAGATAGATTATTAATATTAATTTTATATTTTTTATAACAGAGCTATTTTTTTTATTTTCAATTATAAAATAAAAAAAATAAATTTTTTTAAAAAAAAAAAAAATAAAAAAAATAAAATAAACTATTTTTTTTTTTAAAAAACCAAAAAAAAAAAGAAAAAACTTTATAATTTTAAAATAAATATTTATAAATTAGACAATATAAATAATCAAAAATCAAAATTATAGAGATATACAGTTTTATAAATAACAAATAATAATAATAATAACAAAATAATAACAAAATAATAAATAAAATGTCGACAAATCCAACAAATATAAATGAATATCATGATAAACATCACGATAAACCAGAAAAAGATAAAGAAAAGGAAAAAGATAAGGATAAAGAAAAATTAAACATACAGGTTAAGCCAAGAAAAAATTATCCAAATTCAGCAGATCAGTATGAACTTAAAGAGATTATTGGTAAAGGTGGAAGCGGTTGTGTTCAACGTGCAGTTTGTGTTCCATTTCAAGAAAATGTAGCAATTAAAATTATAGATTTAGAGCATTGTAAGAATGTTTCATTAGAAGAGATTAGAAAAGAAATACAGGCTATGAGTCTTTGTCATCATCCAAATGTAGTAGCATATCACACAAGTTTTGTTCAAAATGAATCATTATGGGTTATTATGGATTTCTTATCAGCTGGTTCATGTTCAGATATTATGAGGTTTTCTTTTCCAAATGGTTTCGAGGAGCATGTTATAGCTACAATTTTAAAAGAGTCTTTAAAGGCAATTTGTTATTTTCACAAAACAGGTAGAATTCATAGAGATATCAAAAGTGGAAATATTTTAATCGATTCAAATGGTAATATTCAATTAAGTGATTTTGGTGTTAGTGCCACTTTAGTTGATACGGGCGAAACAAGCAGAAATACATTTGTTGGTACTCCATGTTGGATGGCACCAGTAAGTTGTATAATTATTTAAAAAATCGTAAAAAAAAAAATATTCATATTAATTTTTTATTTTAATAGGAAATTATGGAACAGGTTAATTATGATTATGCTGTCGATATTTGGTCATTTGGTATTACAGCATTAGAGCTTGCAAGAGGAAAAGCACCATTTTCAGACTATCCCCCAATGAAAGTATTATTGTTGACATTACAAAATCCCCCACCATCATTGGATGCAGATGGTGAAAGCAAGTGGTCACATAGTTTTAAAGATATGGTAGAAAGATGTTTACAAAAAGATCCAGCTAAAAGACCAATTCCAGCAAAGCTTTTAGAGCACAGATTCTTTAAACAAGCCAAAAAACCAGAATATTTAGTACAGCATATTTTATCAAAACTTCCTCCTTTAGGTCAAAGATATCAAATGTTATCTGAAGATTCATTTGCAATGCTTAGAAATACATCTTCACCACAGTTTGATACAGGAAATAATAATTCAGCCGATGAATGGATTTTCCCAGATAATGAAGGTCCAACAACAACTACTACAACAACTACATCAAATAATAATAATAAAATTAATAACTCACAATCAGTACCATCACCATTTGAAACACCTTCTGCTTCACCAGGGTCAACTCCAACACACAGTAGAACATCAACACCAACAAATATTATTGGGCAATCACTTGGTTCATCATCAACTGTAGTTAATCCACCACCATCATCATTAACTTCAACAGCAGTAGCAAACCATCATTATCAACAACAACAACATCAATATTTATCACATTCATCTGGCAGTATACCGAATAGTACTGGTGGTAATTTAGGTTCAACAGCTCATAGTACAGCTCATGGTTTAACTCATAGTTCAATTCATCCAACTTCTTCAGCAAGCTCACAAGCTCATCATTTAAAGAGCCCAAGCCCAGTTAATGCTATCAATATCGTTAAACTTAACCAATCCGATTTAATTACACCACCAAAAACTTCGCCAAAGAAAGAGCCACTTCATTCTAGTAGCGGTATTTCAGGCAATATCCCATCATTAGTAACCACCTCACCAAAATCAGGTTCATTAAACCCACAGGAAACTATCAATAGTAATAGTAGTATTAGTAGTAATGGTACAAATTATAATGGTAGAGAATTAATCTCTTCATCAGGTAACGCATTATCAAAACCACCATCACCATCATCTGATAAAGAGAAAGAAGTCTCTTCAAAATCGGCAACCAAGAATAAATCTAGACAATCATCAAGAGCCTCCTCACTCTCAGAAACCTCAGATTCAAGTTCACAAAACTCAAGCTCTGATGAATACCCAAGATATGATGATCGTAAATATAGAAAATCAAAACAAAAAAGTAGTAGACGTGAAAGAGAACGTGAACGTGAAAGAGAAAGAGAACGTGAAAGAGAAAGAGAGCGTTCAAGTAAATCATATAAGAGTTCGAGAAGTAGAAATGTTAGTAGAGAAAGAGATAGACGTGACCGTTCAAGGGATCGTGAAAGAGAAAGAGAAAGAGATAGAGACCGTGATAGAGAAAGAGATAGAAGCCGTGATCGTTCAAGAGATAGAGAAAGAGATAGAAGTCGTGATCGTTCCAGGGATAGAAGCCGTGATCGTTCAAGAAGTTATTCTTCAAATAGAAGCCATTCTCATTCAAGAAGAAGTAGAAGTCGTGATAGTAGAAATAAATCTCGTGACATTACTTCATCAGATTCCGATAGAGATTATAAATCATCTTCAAAATATAAAAAGAGTAGTAAGAGTAGAAAATCTGATAAAATTCAAGAAAAACTTGCATCTCAAGCTCAACACATTTCATACCTTGAAGATAAAATTTCAACTCTTACAAACTGGCTTCAACAACAAAATTTATTAACAAATAATCAAAATAATCAAAACAATCAAAATAATCAAAATAATCCAAATAATTCTTTATCCCCAACAGCTGATCCAAATTTACTTTTAAAACTTCAAAATCAATTAGATATGCTTCAAAATGAAAACTCTTACCTTAGAAATGAAAATAATAATTTAAAAACAATTGTAAATGGAGGGCATTCAAATAATAACTCATTGTCAAGTCTCTTCTGGTTTGGCTTTTAGAAATACTATTAATTCTCTTCATCAATTAAATATGAGTACCAGCAGTAATCAAAGTACTCAAAGTAATAATAATAATAATAATAATCAAAATAATTTTAATCAACAACAAAATCAAAATACAATAAATAGACAACAACAATAATAATAATAATAATAATAAATATAAACAAAAAAAAAAACAACCAAAATAATAACAAACAACAAAATTAATTATTTAAATAATATATAATATTTATATATCTATATCCACAAATATTTTTTTTTTTTTTTTTTTATTCAAAACAAAAACTATATATATATATTAATAAAGTATTCAAAAAAAAAAAACAAATTATAATTTAAATTTTATAATTTGTAAGTTCTTTTTTTAATTTAAAAAGAAAATTTTAAAGTGTTTTTTGTGCATAATAATTATTTAAAAATTAAAACTACTCTTTATTTAATAATAATGAGACCTTCTATTGTAACTATTGTTGTTATAATTGACTCTTCTTTTACTTTTATGTACTCTTTTTCTGTCATCTGTTTGTGATTTGGAATTTAGGCACCAATATATTGAGGGTTCAGCTTTGGTTTTAAAAAATAATGAGTCAATTGATTTATTAGTATATGATGGTGATTCTTTTGTAAGTTGTTGTGATTGGTTGTTATCTTTTGGGTTATCTTTTGGTGGTTGTCTTGTATTTTTACTATTATCATTTGTAAGAAGTCCTAATTCTTTCTTTTTTTGATACTCTGACTCTTCTAGTGTTGAACTTTCAACCACAAGCTTGGTTCTATTTAATTCTGGCCATGTTAAACCATCAAGCGATTTCATAGCAATGGCGGCATCATTTGAATTGAAAAATGTAACATATGCTTTTGATTTTATATTGTTTAACCAGTAGTGTTCTGTTCCTTGGCCATATTGATTAATTAATTTTTCAAATGCATCAACTCTGAAGGGTCTAACTAATTTGGTAATTAAAATAGTGCATTTTGATTCATCATTAATGTTTTCTGATGTGTGAACTTTTTTATTTAAAGATTCAATATCTTTTTCTTTATTATTAATATTATTACTATTATCATTTTTGTTGATATCATCATATTTTCTTTTCTTTGAGGTGTGGTCCTCTAATTTTTTTTCATTATCTTTTTCTTTATTATTTTTTTCTATCTTTTCATTTTCTAATTTCTCTTTTTCTAATTTCTCTTTTTCTAATTTCTCTTTTTCTAATTTCTCTTTTTCTAATTTCTCTTTTTCTAATTTCTCTTTTTCTAGTTTCTCTTTTTCTAATTTTTCTTTTTCTAATTTCTCTTTTTCTAGTTTCTCTTTTTCTAGTTTCTCTTTTTCTAGTTTCTCTTTTTCTAATTTCTCTTTTTCTAATTTCTCTTTTTCTAATTTCTCTTTTTCTAATTTCTCTTTTTCTAATTTCTCTTTTTCTAATTTCTCTTTTTCTAATTTCTCTTTTTCTAGTTTATCTTTTTCTAAATTCTCTTTTTCTAATTTTTCATTATTTGTTTCTCCTGTTTCCGTTTCGAATTCTTCTTCTTGTTGGGTTGTTTGTTCCTTTAATAAAAGTTCTTTTAGTTTTTCGATTAAATTTGCTTTTAATAAACCAGAAGTTTTTTCAAAACCTCTATTTTCAAGTTCTTTTTTTAATTCTGTTACTTTTAGTTTTGAAAGATTGTTTATATCTAACATTGGTGTAGTGTGATTAATTCTTAAGAATAATATTTTTTTGTTGTAAAAATGATAATGAAAAAAATTAAATTTAATTAAAATTGAAAAAAAAAAAAAAAAAAAAAAAATTAAAAATTTAATTAATTTTTTTTTAATTTTTTATTTTTATTTTTTTTTTTTGGAATTTTTATGTATTTTATAAATTTTGATCAAAAATAAATAATGTTTTTAAATACCATTGGTTATTTTTATTATCATTTTCCCATATCCAAAATAATTCCCAAAATTAAAATTTTTTTTCTGTTTCTTTTGCAAAAAAAAATTATTTAAATAAATTTTTTATTTTTTTTTAATTAAAAATAAAAATGACAACGAATTTTGGTCCAGATAAAAGTTTTTTACACAAAGTGGGTCCGGTGGAGCATTTTTCTGCATCACTGTTCTCAAGGGGTGGCTTATGGTATAACGGGACAATTGATATTGAAAAGTTTGCTTTGGCAGTTAAAGAATCATTAAAAGATTTTTATTTTATACATTCAACATTGCACAAAGATGAGGGAGGTGAAATTTACGCAAGCTATTCAGAGAATGAAAACTTTGAGCATTTAGAAATAGAAGAAAGAGAAGAGTCAATTAAAAATGCAACTTTGGAACTTATATTACCAAAAAAAAATATCAGTCTGGATCAACAGATGGGTTTTTCCAAAGATTTAAATGGGCAAGTTATGGGGGTCCTTAAATTAACTAAATATACTGATGGTTTTGTAATCGGTTACAATTTCAGTCATACTCTTTTTGATCAAGGTTCCATGGTATACTATTTTAAGTATCTTGCAAATATCTATAACGGTCGACCTGGGTTAAAGAAACCACAAATCGTTGATATCCTTTCTTTAGGGCATAATATTCCTCTTTTTAAAGATATTAACGAAGTCCGTGAGTATGGCTCAAAGGTGTTAAGATATATTTATAAACCTATTTCTGCCCACACAGCACCTGCTCCAAACCTAAATATTATCGTGCAAATAAAGCTTGACATTGACGAAATAGACAAACTCAAAAGTACATCTCCCCAATATCTTTCAAGAAATGACTTAATTGGTGGTATTTTAATCAAGATATACAATTTTTCAAACAAAGAAGAAAATTTTACCTATGGTTATGTATGCAATATAAGAAAATATCTAGGTGTAGGTGAAGAGGCCATAAGTAATTTAATTCATCAACGCCGTATGACTATTGATGCTAAAGATATCATAAAAAATAATACAGTTGAATTAGCACAACTAGTTCGTAAAAATTGTTCAGAGATTACAATAGAAGGTTATACAAAGTATGTAGCTTGGTGTAAATATCTAAAAGATGAAAAACAAAACATGGCAGAGTACTTTAATAATCCTACACATGGTATGACTCGTACATCTAACTGGACCAGTTTCGACTATGACAGTATTAGCTTTGATAACTCTGCCCCAATTTCACTCAGACACTACACAGCAGCATTCTATGGTGTCAATATTATTTCATTCGATACTGATGAAAATGGCAAAAAATATTATACAACTCAAATATCAATTCCTTCAAACGATTTAGAAAAAGTTAAAGAATATGGTGAAGTGTCAAAATTATATTCAATAGACAAAGACTATAAGCTTTAAAACAAAAAAATAAATCAATAAAAGAAAAACTTTTACTATACAAAAAATTTTAATTATAAATTTATTTTAGTTATTGTTAAATAATCTATTATAATCCTTTTGACAATACGGATTTGAATTCTTTTCATAGAATATTGAACCAACTAAAGGAATAGCGCATTCTTTACAGCAAAAATGATCTGGGTGCCACTTTCTACCTAAAGCATTAACACATCTATACATTACATTACAATTACATTTTGGACAAATTGGGCAAACATCGTCAAAACAAGATTGACAAAGATACTTTGGACCAGATTTTATATGATTATTTTGAATCGATGAGATACTCATTGAGTTACCTATTGATGGACTATTACTTAATAAATTACTTGATGGGGAGTTTGAAAGTGGAGAGTGGGATAATGGTGATTGGGAGAGTGCAATCGAAAGTAATGATGTATTACTATGTGAATGTGGATTAAATTTACTTGGTGACGATGATGGTGATGAAGATAATGTAACAAAATTATTGGTAGATGAGGTTGAGGTTTGATTAACAAAAGTATCGACCTGTCTATAAAAGGTTTTGTTATCAGCGCAGAGAAGTTCATTACACTTGTTACACTTGAAGCATTCTTGATGGAAATGATTACCTTGTGCAACTACCATTGGACCTGAAATTTGAAGGTTACATCCTAAGCAAAAAGTATTTCTAGATTGTCTAGTTGAGGTAATTTGATTTATAATGGTTGTAACTTTATCACTACTTTTAGATTTTGCTAAAGGTTTTCTATGATTACCAATTGTTGAGTGATTTGGATTATTCTTTATTTCATCTTTATTATTATTTGATTCTTTATCATCACTATGTTTTTTAATATTATTAATTGGGCTATTGTTATTAATATCGTTACTATTACTATTATTATTATTATTGGTATTGGAGGTGGTATTATTATCTTTAGTTTCTTCATTATTATTTATGCTGGTTTTATTTATTGTAAATTTAGTTGATGGTCCAATAATCGAACCTAATGGTGTTGTAAATTTTGAAACTGGTGATAAACTTTCATTTGATGTTGATGGAGAATTTGCAATACTATTTAAACTTGATCTTGGAACAACTTTAAGCTCTCTTGGTTTGGCTTCTTCCTCGACTGAGGCAGATGATGCCATTTCAAAACTATCTTTTTTTCCTAGACCACCATCACCAATAATTCTTTGTAAGAAATCTTTATCAATCTCTGGCTTTCTATTTTGGATTCTTTCTGTTTCTTTAATTGTTTGATCTAATAATTGTAGAGTTGATCTTCTTTGATGATTTATTTTAATTTTATTTTGTTGTTGTTCTATTATAATTTCTTTATCGACGCTATTATTTTCGACTATATTATCAGTATTATTGGTTATATTATTAGTATCGATTTTGTCTTTTTCCTCTGTAGAATTTTCCTCTTTTTCTTTTTCTTCTTTTTCTTCTTTTTCTTCTATTTTTATTTCTAATTTTTCTTCATTATTCTTCTCTAAAATATCATTATTAAATTTAATATCACCTTGGGCTGAGCCGGAACTATTATTATCACCATTATTATTATTATCATTATTGTTTTTAATATTATTTATGGTATTTATTACCTCAGTATCATTATAAACGCTATCACTATTACTGGTGTTATGTTGGTGATGAGTTTTATTTGTATCGCTTGATGATAAATCATCTGATGAATTTGAAAAATTGAATATTTCTTGTTGTTTAAGTTTATCTTGCTCATCTTCGGTCGAATCTTGATTATTAAAAAGTATATGGGTAACATTTAATAATGCACTGCCCCTAGTAAATGGTGATATTTTAATAGTTGATGCTTTGCTACCTTCTGGAATATTTAATTTTGACTTTTCAGCATCTTCATCATTATTACTATTGGTATCTGTATTGTTTTTAATATCTATATTATCTTTTGGTTTATCTTCGGTAGTTGGTTTAATACTATTACCAATATCATTTGGTTTACTAATAAAACTATTATCACTTATTGATAATGATTTTCTATTAATTGGTTCAGATAAAAACAATTTTATATTATCAATAGCTGGTGATGAAGTTGAATATTGTGAATCATTTGGTAATACTGGTGAGGCTGGGCTAATAATTGGGAGTGTTGGTAAGCTTGATGATTGCTCAGATCTTGGAATTGATGGTGATGAGGATGGTGGGGGAATTTCGCATGCAAATGGGGTAACATAACCTGGTTTCGATGAATTTCTTTTATATTTAATTAATTGTAAAAACATAACAACTGGCTGTGGAACATGACCTTCCACAATCCATTCGCCCGAACCATATTTTGAAGCCAAAAAGTGTCTTGTCCATTTAAAAGTAAACTCTTTTTTGTCAGAGATATATTCTTTTTCTTTTTCATCGTAAAAATATCTAATTTCGGGGAATGTTGGATCCTTTATAAACCATGCTAAATAAACACCATTAAATCTACCATAGCCCAATATATGATTGTGTGTAGAGCTTTTTATCCATTCTCCATCCCAATGATAATCTATTTTCTCTTCGTTTACGCTTGTTGTTGGTTCGATTTGTAATGTTCCCATAGAAGAGTAGTTCCACTCCTCCTCTGTATCTGATGACTTGATGATACCACCCTTTATATTATCTTTATATAAAATCTTTAATAACTGTTTACGGTCTACTTGGTTTAGAAAACTCTTGAAGTTTGGGTGTGTCATACCATCAATTTTAACGATCCAATCTGCTAGTATTGATAATGAATCTGAATGTATATTTAATTTATTTGTGGATGTAGAAGATGATGATGAATCGGAATACTCTAAAATAAATCCATAGGTCGTTGCTAATGAGTCTTTTTCTTTTTGTAATAACTCTATATTTTTTGATATCTGATAACTGTATATTTTCGATTGGATTTGATAACTAAAAATGTTTAATGAAAAAAAAAAAAAAAAAAAAAAAGTTAATAATAACGATAAACACAAATTTATAAATATAACTAATTACTTTATCTGGTGAGCTATAGTACATAAAATGTGTTCGGGTTAACACAAACCAATATTTCTTTCGATTCTTGAATATGCCTGTACTAACTTTATAAAGGGTACCACTTTTATATTCAACCATCTTTGTATATATATTACTGTTAGTGTTTTTAAATTCGGAAAACCCGCTGCAAGTCTTTAAATTTGGGTGGCTCTTATACTTTCTCTCTAATTTTTTTCTTTTATCAGTTTTTACAAATACTTTAATATAACTTGAACTTCTTTGTAAAAATTTTTGCTGTAATATTTATATTATTATGGGGTAATAATAATAATTATAGAAAAAGAAAAAAAAAAAAAGAAAAGAAAAGAAAAAAAATTGATTAATATTTATTGATTCTATTTACACTTTATGTTTTGTTTTGTGTTGTGTTTGTGAGTAACTGTTTTTTTTTTTTGAAAATTTTTTGTAGACTAAGAGTATCCCCTAGGAAAATTTTCAAATAAAGTTTGGTCCAATAAAAAAAGAAAAAAAAAGAAAAAGATTTTTTGAAAAAAAAAAAAAAAAAAAAAAAAAAAAATTGGAAAAAAATTTTATTTTTTTTAATTTATTATTATTTATTGTTATTTCTACTAATTAATTAATCCTTTTGAATAAGATTTAAATATGTGATTTATATTTGGTTTTTATTATTGTGAATTTATACAAACGCAAAAAAAAAAAATAAAAAAATAATATAAATTTATTTATTATTTATTATTTATTGTTTATTGTTATAACAATAGTAATAGTTGATAACACATACAATCATTTTGGTTGTTGGTATTTGATAAAATAAAAAATATTTAATTTGAATTTTATTGATGATAAAAATATGTAAGTATTAATTTAATTTAATTTAATTAAATTTAATATAATTAAAATAAAATAAACTGAAACAAAAAAAAAAAAGAGAATCAATAAGATTAACACACCAAAAAAATAAATATATGAAAATAGAATATTTTAAAATTAATTTTAAAATAATTATAAAACAAAAAAAAATAAAATAAAATAAAAAAAATATTATTTTTAAAAATAAAAGAAATAATTATTATTTGAAAATAAAAAAATATACTAAATTTAAAATATTTTTTAAAAAATATTCAAAAAAAAAATAAAAAATAATAATAAAAAAGAAAAGAAAATAAAATAAATAATAAAAATAATAAAAATAATAAAAATAATAAAAATCAACACACCCACACACTAAACAACACACAAAAATCATCAATGTGGTTTTTTGTTTGTTGTGATTTAATGAATATATGTATGTGATATGTGATATGGGATATGTAAGTACTCTACTCTCTACTACTACTATTCTACTACTATTATAACTACTGCAACCTATGTGTGATATTGTACTATTCATGATATATAAAAATGAGATAAAAGTAAAATAAAAATAACAAAAAATAATTTTAAAAATAACTATTTAACACACGCACACACATTTAAATATATACACATGTGAGTACAAAAACAACAACAACAGAATCTTTTTTTTTTCTTATTGTTATTTTTGATTTTGATCTATTATTAACCAAACAAAAATCACATAAATTTGTGGTGGTATTGTTATAATTTTGTGGTGATAATTGTGGTGGTTTAAAAAATGAGTATATGTGTTTGAAAGTGTGAGTGAGAATATGTGTGTGGGTGGGGGTAGATTGAATGAGTGTATTTTTGAAAGATGATGAATGATGTTGCTGACAAGTAATTGATTTTTTTTTTTAATAAATATTAAATATTAATTATTTTAAATAGTAGTGATTAAAATATTAAAAAAAAAAAAATATAAATAATCTAAAAAAAATAAAATCAAAATAGTTTTTTTAAAATTTTTTATACACTGTTTATTATGAATATTCATATTCATATTATTCATATTATTATTATTATTATTATTATTATTATTATTATTATTATTATTATTATTATTATTATTATTATTATTATTATGAATATATTCAAATTATTTTATTTTTTATTTAAATATTTTATTATTATTATTATTTTGTTTTTTGATAATAATGTATAGATTACTTTTTGTGGTAGTTTGCTTATATTAAAATCTCTCTTTTGAGCATAATAAATTTATGATAATAAAATTATGTACTAAAATCCAAACCACAAATATCATGAATGAATGATCAACTATTTTGAAAGAAGGTTGTGGGGTTGTTTTTGCTTTCTTTTTTGTCTTGGTGGTTATTTTTTTGTTGTCTTTTTTGTTATTGAATAAAAATAATAAAGACAAGTACACAAAATTTTGATGAAAACTACTACAAATTATGATTATTATTTCTATCTTTGCACTAGCTGGTTAAAAAAAACAAAACAAAAAGGGTATTTTACTTTAAAAATAATATTATGTATACTAAAAAAAAAAGTTTAGATGATGAAAATTATTATAATTTTTTTTTTTTTTTTTAATTTTTAATTTTTTTTTGGATTTAAGGTGATTGGTTGTTCACCACACTGAAAAAAATAAAAAAAAACAAAACTATTCCTTGAATTATAGATTCTTTGCAAAATTTGTTTTTTTTTGGCACAAAAATACATACACATAAATTTGATTGTGATTTATTTATTTATTTATTTTATTATTTCAGTTAATCCATCAATATTGTCTCTATTTCCTTTTTTTTTTTTTTTTTTTTAAACAAAAAAAAAAATTAAAAAAATAAAAATAAAAAAATTAAAAAAAATTAAATAAAAAAGAAAATAAATAAAAATAAAAAAAAGGTAAATATTAGCAGTTTTTTTTTAGTTTTTGGTTTTTAGTTTTTTTTTTTTTTTCTAAAATGTTTATGAATATCTTTAAAAGGATATTTTTTTTAAACTTTATTAATTTGATTTATTATTAAGTCATTTTATTATAATATATTGTTTTTTTTTTTACACAAGCATTTTATTTGCACACCAAATTCTTTGAAGTATGTCATTTTGTAAATCATTTAAAGAGCTCCAAAGTTCTCTTTGAATCGCAGGCAAACCATTTACTTCTTTTCTTTCACAAGCAATGAAAAGATTATTTAAAATTGCAATTGTTTCTTCGGATAGTTCAGAACCAGTGCCATATTGTTGATCGTTAATATCGGTTACCAATTTGCTAAGTTGAGCCTGGGCTTTTGGGAAACTATCTTGAAGTATATATAAAAGAAATAATGATACCCTAGATTCAATTAATAGGAATGGATATAATGATATACTAACTGATGATGGTAAAATTGTATTGTTATTGATATTTATTGTTGACGAAGATGACGAAAAATTATTATTATTATTATTATTATTATAAAAACTGTTGATACTATTTATATTACTACTATTATTATTATTATTATTATTTATTATCGAGTCTTCGCTATTTGAAAATAATGATAATTGGTTCATTCTTGATTCTAAAGGTTGTGTAGTTTCGCTTGCAATGGTAACAATCATATCTAAATAATCACATGCACCTTTATAATCCCATTCCATTACTTTACAATAAGCTGCTTCTTTTAATGAGTTGATGGAGCTTATTGGACTTTCTGTCCTTTGAATTTCTGCTGCTTTTTGAAAATTCTCTGCTGCTTCTTCTAATTTATTTAGTTTTTTTAATATTGTTGCCATTTCAAAATATAATGTACCCATAATGCTAAATCTTTTATAGTTTTGGTAAATCTAAAAATTAGAGATAAAGTAATATTAGTAAATGATCTTTTGGGATAAAAAATATTGGATATTATATACTTTAATAGCTAACAAATAACAATTGATTGCTTCTGGTATGTTTTCTTCAAAGCTGATAATTTCTGTTTCTGAGGTTTGAATTTCATTTTCCCATATTAAATAACCAGCATCAATGTAACAAGATGCTTCTGCGGATGATGAACTTTTGATTGCTTGTTCGCACCTGCTTATCGATAAACAACAAAATGCTGCATATATATTATTTCCTTCTCTTTTAAAACTATTCATAACTTGTGTAAATTGATCGATTGCTTCCCCATAGTTTGGTTTCCGCATAGGGAATTTCTTCTTTTTTAATTTTGCTGATATTAATTTATAAGAGTCAATTAAATGGCTCATTTTTATTATTTAAAAAGTTTATATATATATAAATATGGTTATTAATACTACAAAAAAATAAATAAATATAAATTTAAAAACAAATATTTGAAGAAATTAAAAAAAAATATAACAAAAAAAAATTAAAAAAATTAAAAAAAATGTTGAAAAATTATAATTTTTTTTATTTTCATTTTTTTTTTTTTTATTTTTTTTTTTTCAAAGATCATTATTTTAAATTATATTTATATTTACATTTTTATTAATATATGTCTATATTTATGTTTAATATATAATATTTATTGTAAATAAAAAATAAAATGAAAAGTTTAATAATTATTAGTATTTTTGTAATTTTAATATCATTTTTTATTAAAATTCAATTAGATCAACATCAATCATTTATTCAAAGATATTTCAATTCAATAGATATCAATAAAAATTTTAAAGATTTAGAACCAAAAGAAAAAACAACACAAACATTCTATTACAGCGATGAAATATTTTATAATATTAAATTATCAGATGATGTTAGAGATGCATTAAAATATGGAAAACCAGTAGTATCATTAGAATCAACTATTATATCACATGGTATGCCATATCCACAAAACTATCATACTGCAATCGAGGTTGAGGATATCATTAGATCATATGGTGTAATCCCAGCAACTATTGCAATTTTAAATGGTACCATTCATATTGGTTTAACTAAAGATGAAATTCATTATCTTTCAACTGTTGGTAAAGATGCTGTTAAAACTTCAAGACGTGATATTGCTATGGTTATGTCTCAAGGTAAAACAGGTTCAACTACTGTATCGGCAACAATTCTATTCTCAAATTTAGTTGGAATTAAAATTTTTGTAACTGGTGGTCTAGGTGGTGTTCACAGAGGTGTTGAGGCTAGTTTGGATGTTAGTGCCGATTTAACAGAATTAGGTAAAAATGGTGTAATGGTAGTTTGTGCTGGCGTAAAAAGTATTTTAGATATCGGTAAAACATTAGAATATTTAGAAACTCAAGGTGTTACTGTCGTAACTTATGGTTCTGATGAATTCCCAGCCTTTTTCACAAAACATAGTGGCTTAAAATCACCAAATCGTTTAGATAACCCACCTCAATTCGCCAAACTTTTATTCTCAAACCAATTGCTTCAATTAAAGAGTGGAATTGTAGTAGCTGTTCCAAACGAAAATGAAAACTCTGAATTAATCGATCAAGCCATCAAGGAATCAATTGAACAATCAACTAAAGAGAAAATAATGGGTAAAGAAATAACTCCATACCTCTTACAAAAAGTTAATGAAAAGACTGGTGGTAAATCATTAGAGTCAAATATTATGTTAGTTAAAAATAATGCTAAAATTGGTTCACAAATTTGTTTGGAATACTATGCATTACTAAAAAATGAAAAAACAGGCGCATCTTATCCTGAAAAAAACAATCAAGTATTCACTTATTTCGATCAAAAAGTAAATAGATTCTTAAAGAAATACTTGGAGCTCGATCGTTCACCACCAATGAAGTCAATTCAAAGCCCACCAGTAAAGAAGAGAATTGCAGATTTTGCCAATCCAGTAGCAGAAAAAAATCAAGATAAATATAAAGTTGTAGTTGTTGGTGGCGCTGTTATTGATATGATTTCACATCCATATAAATTATCAGGTTTCCAATATCAAACATCAAATCCAGGTTCAATGAATGTTAAAATGGGTGGTGTAGGTAGAAATATAGCAGAAGTTTTAACAAGATTAGAATTAAATCCATTATTTATCAGCTTATTAGGTGATGACATACATTCACACATTTTATTGGAAGAATTTAATAACTTAAATATGAGCACCTATGGCATAGCATCAAAAGAAAACTCCAAAACTGCAATTTACAATGCAATTATGGACGAAAAAGGGGATTTAGCTGTTGCAATCGCTCAAATGGATATCTTTGACCATATTACACCAAATTATATTCAACACTTTACCGACAAATTAGATAAATCAGAAATGATCGTTTTTGATGGTAACATTCCAACCGAATCAATGAAATATCTTGCAAGTCTTTCATCTTCAAAGAAAATTAAGCTTTGGTTTGAACCAACAAGTGTTTTTAAATCATCAAAAATTGTAGATTCTCAAATTATTTCACACATCACATTCATTTCACCAAATAGAGATGAATTATTTAAATTATCTCAAGAAATATTATCCAAACATTTGGTTTCAAATATCGATAAATTTACAAATTTAAATTTTGAAAATAAACAAGGTATGTTTAAATATTATAAATATATTGGTCATTAAAATTAATAATTAACAATATTTTTTATTTTTATAGATTTAGAAAATATTAAAAAACATTCAAATGTTTTAATTGAAGCTGGTATTAAACATGTTGTCGCCAAATTAGGTAAACAAGGTGTTTTATTAACATTCAAAGATTCAGAAGGTAAAATTCAATATGTTATGTTTAATGCACCAGATCTTAAAGATACTGAAATTGTAGATGTTAATGGAAGTGGTGACTCTTTGGTAGCATGCTCAATTTATTCACTTTTATCTGGTAACGATTTATCAAAGAGTATTTTAGATTTTGGTACAAAATGTGCAAAGTTAGCTTTATTAAATGAAAATCCTGTTTCGCCATTAATTAAAAAATCAATTTTCAAATAAAAAGTAATAATAATTATAAAATATGTTACAACAATAAAATTAAAAATAAAATATAGTTTTTAAAAATATTTAATTTCTTTGTTTTTATTTTAAATTATTTTATTTTATTTTATTTTTTATATTTTTATTTTTTTTATTTTATAAAATATTCATATTATGTTCTTTTAAATGATTTTGAATTATTAAATCAGAGTTTTCTAAAAATCTATTATTTGAATATAATATTTTTGGTTGGTAATAAATTTCACGACCAAATTGCTTTTTACAAAATATTTCACCGTGTTGATTCTTTAAAAACATTTGGGTTGTATCTGGGTTTTCGATAAAAGTATCATGGACTATAGTACAGGTATTTATAAAATTCTCTTCGTTCGTTGTGGAGATACCACTTGATATAGCCATGCTAGTTAAGGAATCGTATGATAAGAAATGGAAAATATTTGATGGAGAGATGGTGGTACGATATAAAACCTGTGGTGGTGATGGTCTGTTGTCAAAGCTTTGTTCTAATTCTTTTGATAATTGTAAAATACGGTTTTGATGATTTAAACGTATCTTGTTAAACTCTAAATGAATTGTAAATTGGTTATTTTGGTTGATGTCTGTTAATAAAGCGATGGTAATATCATTCCAATAAATAATTAATAACTCTACAGCAATATAGTCCTCATTGTTATGTAATGGTGGCTTAATTGGTTCACCATAACGGTCTAACTCTGGTTGCTGTGGTTGTTCTGGTTGTTTTTGTGGTTGTGGGTTTAGTTTGAAAATATTGTTTGGGTTTTGGTGAATATCAGTATTTATATGTTTGTTTTTTAAAACGGTGTATTCTTTTGGTGAAATATATACAGTTTGATGATGATCCTCTGGAATAAATTGTGGTGGTAGCTGATTTGGTAATGGTTGGGAGGATGAGTTTAAGTTCATTTGTTGTGGTTGCTGTAAAGGTGATTGTGGTTGCTGTTGCTGTTGTTGTTGCTGTAATATAATTGGGTTGGTTGCATTTCTCCTTGAATATTCGATTTTATCCAATATAAATTTAGTTGTGGTTTGTAATTCAAAATTGCTAAATAATACTGTATTTCTAAAAAATATTGCGCCACCTAAGTGGTCATTTGAAATAATACTATCTATTAATTGTGATGATTGTATAAAAAATCTTTGTGATCTCTAAATTTTAAAATTAAATATTAAAACATTGCTTTTAAATTATATTTTATAATGATAACTTACGTGTGGTAATGGTGTATATGGTAAAGGGCTAAAGGAATTCATTAAATTTTTATACATATTTTTTGCAGAAATCTCCATTAGTTCTTTTAATTCGCCTTCTAATTTCTTTTTTTCTTTCTATAAAAAAAAATAATTAGTATTTATTTATTTTTATATTTTATTATATTTTATTTATTAAATAGTTACCGAAACAATTTGTAAATTTCTATAATAAAAAGTTAATGCATTATAAATATGAGTTAAGTGATTTGATACAGTTGATGGAGCTATGTCATTCTCAGTACATAAAACTAATGTATAACGGTCAACTACTTTAAGTGAAAGTGTATGTCTTTCTAAGGTAATGTAATCTATTGGTGATGAGGTAAAAAAGTCACCACTGATACCAGACATTGAATGAATACCACCACCAAAATTTACCTTCATCATATTATTAACCTGTGGTATATCTGGGTAAAAAAATATTAACTTGTCATTTTGATCTGCACTTTCTTCATTTTCAAATTCTTCATATATACAAAATAAAATCTCTTCACTCTTTAAAAAGTTTAGTGGTGTTAGTGGTGAAGATTCACTGTAATGTGACATATTATATATATTTATGCAATAACTTTTATTTGTTTTATTCTGAAAGTTATTAAATATTTATGTTATTGATGGTTATTAAAAAAAAAAAAAATTAAAAAAATTAAAAAAAAAAAAAAATTAAAAAAAAATAAAAATAAAAAAATAAAAAAAATAAAAATAAAAAAAAACTATAAATACAGAAAGAAATATATTTATTAATCAAAAATAATTAAGAAAAGTATTTTGTGTAATTTTAATATTAAAATTAGTAATAAAAAATTTTGGAATTTTTTATTACTAATTTCAATAATATTATTTATTTCGTTTATTTATTTTTATTTTTTGGAAATCACCTCTTGATTTTACAAGAGACTTAATCCCTTTTTTGGTGTATAAAAAAAGAATGATTTTTAATCAGTCTTATCACCTCCTGATTTTACAAGAATGTGTAAAGCGAATAAGAGCTGGGTAGTTGTACTCTTTAGACTCTTTTGAATAAGTTTAGAGAATGATGAGGCTGCTTCCTCATCATTTACATCCATGAAAAATGCCTCTCTAACATATGAAATATCTCCTTTGGTACTTAATTCCGGAATACCAGTTGAAATCATCTATTTTAAAAAAAAAAATATATTAGTATTAAAAATTATTATTATTTTTTTTTTTTTTTAAAAAAAGGTTATACTTACTAAACAAAATAAGATAATAAATAAATTTTTATACTTTCTGACAAATTTAAAAGATGAACAACATAAATCTGTAAAGAATTTAAACGATGGACTTTTCTCTCCTCCCATTACATGAGCAAATTCTGGTGTTAATACAAATGGAGCCTTTTCTCTCTTATAACCATGGAATTTCATAATGTTTCCTAAAAAGTGAGCAAAATCGATATGGAATAAATGGCCTGAGTTTGAAACCATAATGTTATCATTGTGTCTATCACTAATACCTAAAATATAAGTAGCTACACAATAACCTGCTAGTGAATGAGTAAAGTTTTGAACCGCATAGTCATATTCAGTATTGTGTTGATTTCTTTCTCTGAGCCAATTTGAAAGTGGTGTTTTAGTAAATGCAGCAGTTGCACCACCCGCTGCTTTTTGAATATTTGCAGTTGTATCTGAATCTGGTATAACTTCAATAAAACCTGTATCTTCGCTGATTGCTGTAACATTATAAATTGATAAATGAAGATCGAGGCCATTTTGTTTCCAAATATTATCCATAACAGAAAGCATTTGAAGTGTAAGAATATCTTGACGAAGATCATCACCTGTTTTAAATATAACCTGGATTGGATCGCCAACTGGGTCAACATTTTGGAATACTAAATACAATGGTACAGTAAATGAATCAAACCAACGACATTCACTAACAATAATACCACAAGATTCTGTTGATGGTGATGTTGGTAAATGGAAAGTATTGGGCCAAACCACTTTATTTAATTCTTCATGGAGCACTGCTTTACGTTTGTTTGGTGATGTTTCTTTAACAAGTTTAGCAATGGTTGTTAATTTTGTAACCACTTCCATTTGCTTTACAAATTCGTGACGTTGATTACCACAGCCTTTGAGATAGGTTTCTAATACCAATGAATAACGTTCTGAAATCTTTGGGTTATGCATTTCAGCTTCCAAATGCCAAAAGAATGGGTGCCCGATAATAGCACGATTATTAAGGGCTCTTTGAATGAGGAATCTAGCCAAAGCAGAGTCATGATATGGTTCGTGTTTAATTGATTGAACTAATTGTAGTAAATAAAGTGCCAAATCTGAATCGCTTAAAGCTCCAATACATTTTACTGCATATTCTCTTACCAATTCATCTGCAAATTTAACATCTAATAACTCTAATGCTTCAAGTGGTGAAAGTGGTGACCAAATTGAAAGAAGACGATGAGCCTCACGTACCTCAGCGGGACTGTTCCAATGGAGTGATTGTAAAACCTTTGGTAAAGAACTTGGGATAGTTTGTAAATGCATTCTATACATCCAAATGAACTTCTTATCAGACTCGGTTAAAATATAAAGTGGATCCTTTTCAATAAGCTCATCTAGACGATCTTGGTCTTCTTTTCTAGCTTCGACATAATCTCTTATTTCAGTTCTTTCCATTCTTTCTGGTTTAGGGAATACTACTGGGAATGGGAATTGGCAAAACTCTATAACTAATGATGGTGATGGAATATTAAAATCTGGTAAATCAACACGGTCACCAGGCCATAAAATCAATGAAGTTACACCACTTAATAGTTGACCATGGTAATCGATTAATTGTAAATCAGCCCAACCAATTGAAATTTTGTTTTTATCACCAACTTGAGCAAAAACAGTAAAACATAATTTGGTAGCTCTTGGAATATCAGACATTAAAAGTGCAGATCTTAACCATTCGCACCAAAGTGGTTTTGAACCTTTAACAGCTACTATTTCCATTGAATCTGTTAATAACTCCTCACCATGACATAAGGATACTGAAACTGTTAGTTTGATATCATTTAGATTATTTGCACTATCTGGTAAGAATTTTTGGAATATAGTTGGATTTAAATTTTCTAAACATATAATTCTAATTTCAAATGGTCTATTAATTTCATTAAATAAAATAGATCTATTACCGTTGATAGAGGTTGTATTATTAACCAAATTATTGCTGTTGTTATTAAAAGCATTATTACTGCTTAAAGCTAAAAAGTTATTTTGTCTTGGTGAGATTGGGTTATTATTATAGCTATTATTATTACCATTATTATTATATACTATGAAAGATTGATTTGGTGGTGATGTTGATTGATAAGTTGGTATATATTCTTTTGATGTACAAATATCTTCAGAGTAACCATCAATATAAATATTTGGTAATGATGATTTATGAACTAAACTAAACTTGATATCTTTTTTTCTTTGTAAACGATTTCTAACTACAACTAAATTGGAAACCAATATATCAGTTTGAAAAACATGATCGCTTGTACCAGTGATACGAATTACATAATCTTTACCGGTGTGGTCTGATGAAATTAACTTTGTGCTTGTGTTATGTTTTGTAATAATTTTTTCAATTAAATCTGATACTTTTTCGGTTGTCATAATATTTAATGTAGTTGAGTGATTGTCTGGGGGTAAATAACATTTAACTCTGAAATTACTTGGCAACAATGGGTCCATTGGCGCATTTGAAATGGGGGCAACAGTAATTTTTACACGATCTCTAGAGTCTAAAGTTTCAAAATCGAAAACTTGTTCTGCTAAATTACGGAAATACTTTATTTCATTCTCTGTATTACTCCAATTTAATGGTTTACCTAAAAGTGAGGCTATTTGGGCAGCTGTTAATTTTTTCTTTTGTTGAATAGCTTTGACATTAAGATCTCTTTGTTCACCTAAAGAGATATTTATGTTTCTTAAACCACCTTGTCTCTTTATTAAATTTAATGATGAGCCAACATTAGAAAGAGATGAAACTATTGGAGAACCACCTAATTGTAATGCATGTCTACTTGGTGAACCAACCTCTACAAGATGATTACTCTTATATAAATCTTGTAAACCTGGTTTTAAAACTACTAATTGTGGAATCGAATTTGGTTTCGAAACTATATTCTCTTTGAATTGATCATAAATTACTGTATTACCTTTGAATGCAATAGTTGTAGAGTTTATATCATTAGTTGAAAAAGTTCCAACCTTGATTGCTTGAACCATTGTTTCTAAAGTTGAAATTAAATAACTCTTAAATTCGTTTGCAGTAAAATCTTTGTTACAACCTACTACTATACTATTATTTTGAACTTGTACTTGAAATGGAATATCATTTAAATTGGGTTTAAGTGGTGATTTCATTTGTAAAAATGATGTCCAGTGTAAAATCTCTTCAATCTCATCAGAGGACGATGTAATTACTCCATTGGTACCATCGTCAGTATCTTTTTTAATTAGTATTGGTTGTTCTCTTATAGCTTTTTCAAATGTATATTCCTTTTGAAGTGAAGGAGACTGTATTTTTGGTATAATTGGTTCTTTTTTAAATTGTAATGATGGTGATGTTAATACATTTTGTTGTTGTTGTGGACTAAGTGAAAAAATTGTATTTGATTCTGATTCTGATTCTGATTTGATTTCCTTTTCACTCTCTGATGCTGATGGATCATCCTCTGCTTCAGATTCTGTGTATACTTCACCAGATGCTAAATTTGATTGATATTTTAACTCCTCATCTTCTAAAAGTATTAATTGCTGTTGTAGTTGTAATTTAATAAGCTCTGTAGTGGAATCATCCTGACTATCTTCTAGAGGTCTTCCTGTTGGTGATGTTGATAAATCATTATTACTAATACTTGAGGTTAATGTTGGAGATGTTGTATTGGGTGAACCTGAAGTACTACTATTCGATGGTGAACTGCTTGTGGTTGCGGTAGTTGTGGTGGTGTTTGTTGTTGAACCGCCAGTTATACTACTTGCTGTATCTTTATTACCAATTTTATTTAATTTTTGTTGTTGCTGTAAAATATTTTGTTGTGAAGGTGCTCTTTTTAATGGTGGTGCATTCTTTGCCATGGACTTTTTTGTAAAGGTGCCCAGTTGCTTCTTTATACTTTCTGCTTTTGATTTTCTTGCAATAATTTCTTTCGATTTTGGTACTAAAAATACATCAATGGATTTCTTTATTAATAAAGATTTTTGAATATCTTCATGGGCAAAAATGAATCTAACAAATTCAATTTGTAATATTTCTGATTTATTTAATGCTAAAAAATAATCTTGACTCTGTTCATTTGGGAAAAAATGTTTAACAATTTCAAATTTAACATGATCAACTGTTACTGAGCTTTGAAATGAAATTTTATTTGGTTTATTATTGATATTTATCTAAAAAGAAATAAAAAAAAAAATTTATTAGTACTAAAAATTCTATTTTTAATTTATTGACCAGTCAATAATATCTTACATTTACGATAAAGCCATCCTCTATAAATGATCTTCTGTTACTGGAGTATCTGTTAGATACCTCCATTTTTTTTTTTTTTTTTTTTTTTTAATATTAACTATTTAATTTTTATTCATAAATATTTGATTTATTATTGATTGAATAAATCATAAATTGAAATTTAAAGAAAAAAAAAAAAAAATAGACAATTGGTTTTAGTTTGTGTGTCTTAAAAAAAAATAAAAGATATTTAAAAAAAAAAATTTTTAAAAAAAAAAAATTATAAAAAATATATTTTTTAAAATTTATTTTTATTTTATTTTATTTTATTTTATTTTATTTTATTTTATTTTTATTTTTTATTTTTATTTTTATTTTTACTTTTATTTTTTCTTCTATTTCAAAAAAAAAAAAATAATGATATGATATGATATGAATAATATATAAACGAAAAATATTGCCATATTAAAATGTATAAATTATTAAATTTAATCTTAAAAAGAAAGGAAATGACACACCCTTTTTTTTAAAAAAAAAATTCAAATTATTTTTCTTTTTTTTTTATTTTTTTTTTTGTTTTTTATTTTTCAAATTATTTTTTTAAATTAAATTAAAATATTAATATCCTCCAAAAAAAAATTAAAAAAAATGAAAACAATTGTTGTAATCTATAATGATAAGGAATACCCTGTAGAAATCGAAAGTGATACAACATATGAAGAGTTAACATTTCAAGTATTTTCATTAACTGATGTAGAGCCTGATGATCAGCTCTTTTATAATTTATATAATACTTCTACACCACCATTACCAAACCAAAAACTTAATGTTCTAAATGTAAGATTATTAATAATCAATAAAAAAAAAAAAATTATTAGTACTAAATATTTATTTTTAGAATCAAAAAGTATTTTTACAAAATTTCAAAAATAAAAGTCAATTATTTAATAGTTCAAATAGTTTTATAGATCCAAGTTTAAGAAACAGAATTGAAAGTTTTTATAGGGGAATGATAAAGTATAATGATGAAAGATTACAATATTTAGCGCTTGAACAAATACCCATTGAAATTAAAAAAGAACAGTCACAAATGAAAAAAGTTCAAATGTTATTGGATTGGTTTAAAAACAATTATTTTTGTTGGGTTAATGCACCAGAATGTATCGATCTAAAGTGTGGTACACCAAATACTAAGTTGGTAGGTCACGAGCAACCAACAATTGAAGAGATGAAGCATCAGGCATCAAGAGTTGAGGTTTATAGATGTGATAGTGGTCATATCACAAGATTTCCTCGTTACAACAGTGTAGAGAAGTTATTAGAAACAAAATCAGGTAGATGCGGCGAGTGGGCAAATACTTTTACACTATACTTAATGGCTGTTGGGGTAAACACACGTTATATCTTTGATTTTACTGATCATGTTTGGAATGAAGCTTTTATTGACGGTCGTTGGGTTCATCTCGATAGTTGCGAAGCAGCCTATGACACTCCTCTAGTTTATGAAGGTGGTTGGGGAAAAAAGAATCTATCCTATATATTTGCCTTTGAATTGGATGGTGTATATGACGTTACCAAAAGATACACTATTCGTTTTAATCAACTCAATAGAAGTTTAGCAAATGAACAAGCTTTAGTATCATATCTCTATCAATTCAATCACAAAATTCGTTCAACATTACCACACGATTTACTACGTGACCTTTTAAAAAGAGAAACATCAGAATTGCTTGAAACAGAAACTTTTGCATCTAGAAACTATGGTGATAATCTAACTGGAAGAGTATCAGGCTCATTAGATTGGAGAACAAGCAGGGGTGAATCGGGTGATGGGGATCTTACTATTGGACCTGGCAATAATAGCAGCAACAACAATAACCAACTTCCAGTACCAACAATTAATAAAACCATCTATATTTTAGACTCCATCTCAAAGGCAAAAGAATCACTAAACCTTGTTGGCAACTGTTCTATTACAAAAAATGGAATTCAAATAACTGCAAATGAAACTGATAAAATTGGTGCATTTTGGTTAAAAGAAAAAATCGATGTCATTTCTAATGGTGGCTTTATTTGCAAATTAAAATTTTTAATCAAAAAAGATGGGGACGGTGCTGACGGTATGGCTTTTGTTATTCAGAATAACAGCATAAACTCTATGGGAATTGGTGGCTATGGTCTTGGTTATCACTCTATACCAAACTCTGTTGCTATCGAATTTGATACCTATCCATCAAAAGATCACGCAAGAGATCCAGACGGTAACCATATAAGTGTTAATACACGTGGTCGTGAACCAAATTCAGCCCATCATAGATTTTCAATAGCATGTGGAAACCCAAAAAACAACAAACCAATGAATGATGGTGTAGAGCACGAATGTTTTATCAAATACTCTTCAAGTGAAAAAACCTTAGATGTTTGGTTAGATAACTATCAGGTGTTAAATAAAGTTAGTATAGATATTCAATCACTTTTAAATTTAGATTCAAATAAAGCTTTTTTGGGCATGACCGCTTCAACTGGTGGTTTAAAACAAGCACATATAATTTCATCATTTTCAATTGGTAATTAAAAAAATAAATAAAATAAAAAATTGTCTTTTAAATTTTATATTTATTTCGATATTCAAATTATAAAAAAAAAAAAAAAAATAAAAAAATAAGAGGGTTGGTGTAATCATTATTATTTTAAAAATAAATTATTTTAATCTTTTTTTTAACCAAACCAATTTTATAAATCACCAAAAATGATTAACCCACATTGAAAAAAAAATTTTTCACCAAAATTTAAAAAATATTTTCGTAAAAACCAAATTCATTTTTTTATAGAAATTATTTCGAAATTTCTATCAATATCATATTCAATAATTTATTAATCATTCCTTTTCTAAATAATTATTTCTTTATTTTAAAATAATTATTATTTTATTTTTTTTACTTTTTTTTTATGGTTTTAAAAAAATTATAAAAGAAAAAAAAAAAAAAAGTTATTATTCATTTTTACAAAACAAAATAAAATTTATTACAAAATAAATAATAAGTTGAATAAAATATTATAAATAAAAAGTAATTTTAATAAATAAAAATAATTTAATTTTTTTAAATCTTTGTACTAATAGTTTTTTTTTTAATTTAGTATCCAAAAATGTCACAAAGATTAGTTTCAATAAATATTGCTGATATCTTAAAAATTCATCAACTTCAAAGCACAAAAATGATCAATAGAGGTTTTTTAAGAAATAGTTGCAATAGTGTTCCAATCATTCCAAACCAGTCAAGTATAGTTAATGATACCATTGCTGAATTAGAATGTGCCATTTCAGATGCCAGTAGCTTTAAATGAAAATACTAAAAAATGTTAAATAGTAATTAAATAATAATAATAATTACTCTTTTGGATAAGAAATAATATGGTCCAAAACTAAAAACCCTCCAATCTTAAATTTTCTTTTTTTTTCAAATTAAAAAAATATTTTTTTTTAAAAAAAAAACTTAATATCTTTTAAACAAAGATTTAAAAAAAAATCTTTGATGTTTCAAACTTTTAAATAAAATAAAATTATTTAAATTTAAACCAACCAAACTATACATATTTGTTATAAAATTTTTTATTTAATTATATATTTAAATATAGAATTTTTATTTTATTTTTTAAATTTTTTTTTTATATTTTTATTTTTATTGTTATAAATAAATAGTTAATTATTATATTAATTATTTATTAATTCGGATCTTGCTTTTTCTATAATATTTAAAGCTGATATTAAAATTTCTTTTTCCATTATTCTGATTTTAATAGCGTTTATAACATTAAAAGATATTTGATTGTTGTCAACACTGTTGTTATCATTATTATTATTGTTGTTGTTATCAGAGCTGTAATAGTTTTTTAATAAATTTTTATCAGATTCTAAATTTGTACCATATGAATCTAAATAACGGTGAATTAAATTCTCTAAAAATCTTAATGAAACTTTTTCATTTCTTGTATTTAGTGGTGTATTTCTTGTATTTGGTGATAAAAAGTGTTTTTTGGCTTGATCACATTCTTTTGCTATTAAGTTTTTGACACGAGCATATAATAAAAGGTCGGCTGGGAGTGGATCAGTTTTTTGTAAGAGGAAAACTTCGTTTATTATATCATTTTCTTCTAATATTTCTTGTTTGGTTGAAAGATTTGGTTCATCGTTGTGAAATACTGGTACTGTTATTGCAACATTATCAGATACTGTACCTTCATCGAAAATAAAACCATAGTCCATCAACATTTGACTGCTACTTAATGGCTTATAAACGCCATATGGTGTAAAGATTTGTTCACCTTCCGCAATATCGTCTGAGGCATAATAATCCAATGTTGTATCTGTAACTTTTGGTAAAACTTTAGATTTTGAACGATCTTCTGCATTGAACATATCAGCCAATGGTACCATACCACCATCGTTTTCCGCTAAACTGAATGCACGGGACCATACACAACTGAGTGCCCATGTAAAAAGTTCTTGATTATATAAAGCTAAATTTGAAAACTCTGGTACTAATTTGCTAAGTCTTGAAAATGTACTCTCGTAATGTCTCTCGATACCATCCTTTCTAATGATTGTAAATTCTTTTAATTGGGATGCTTGTAATTCATCCAATTCATTATCGCTAAAATAAAGTGATGTTGAAAATGATTCTGGTAACACTGTTACATATGGATGCCAAAATGATTTTTCATTTAATTTTGAATACATTATAAAAACTGCTTGTAAATTTGTAGGTGAAAGTCCAATCGATTGAACTTGTTCATAGATTTCTTTTGGTATTTTTTTTGGGTATCCACCAATATTTGACATTATAATATCTTTTGGGATACTAATTAATTTATCTTGTTTCTAAAATTAGACATTAAAATAAATATTGATTAATATTGAATTATTATTATTATTATTATAATTTATGATTATATGATAGTAGATGTGTGTATACTTACTTTGATTGATTTTTTTGCAACGATTGAACGTCCATATTTATCTAAAAGTTCAATATCTATATTTGGGTTTATATATGCGTTATTATTTACAAGCCATTCTTTGAATTCTTTTAATGATTCTATTTCTTTTGTATTATCTTTTACATCACCATTACTGAATACTATGGTTATTATTAACAAAAATAAAAATAAAATTCGAATAAAATTTTTATTGACTGATCTATGTTTCATTATGATTATTATTTTATTTTTATTTTTTTACAAAAAAAAAAAAAAATATTAATCTTTATATTTATATTTTAAAAAAAAAATAATAATTATAAATTAAACGAAAAAAAAATAAAATAATTAAAAAAAAAAAAATAAAAAAAAAGAAAAAATAAAAAAAATAAAAAAATATTTTTAAAAAAAAAAAAAATTTTTAAAAAAATAGAGAATCCAAAAATCTAAAAAAAAAAAAAAAAGAAATTGTGGTGAGTGGGAAAAAAATGGTTTATAGGTTTAATTACATTTATTTTATCTGTTCAATAAAATATTTTTGAAGATAAAAGTAAAAAAATATTAAATTAGTTATATGTTTTTAAATATTTAATAATATAACATCATTATTAATAAAATAAAAAAATATAATTGCTTTATTTATTTGAAATTAATAACAGAATGAATAAACGAATGTTATAGTTTACAACTATTATTATTAAAAAATCTTAAGATTTTTTTTAAATTATTTTAAAAACAATAAATTTAATTTTTTTTTTATTTTTTTTTGTTTTATTTTTTTTTTTTTTTTATTTATTTTCAAAATGGTTTTTTATTTTTTTTTTGTTTATATTTTTCGAACTAAAGCAAAAAGACAGTTATTAGTTATAGGGGTATAGCATTAAATTTATAAAATTACAAAATGGAAAAAACAAATCAAAATACCTCATATTGGGAAAAATCATTACTAAGTTATGATTATTTAGTTATTGGATCTGGTATTGTTGGTTTATCAACCAGTATTTCAATAAAAGAAAAGTCACCAAATAGTAGTGTTTTGGTTTTAGAACGTGAAGTTATTCCAACTGGAGGTAATTATAGCTATAAAAATAAAAATTGAACCATTTTTATAAATAAAAAAAAAACCCACTAACACATTCAATTTTATAAACATAAAAATCTTTTAAATTAAAAAAAATGAACTTTAATAAAGCATCGGTATGTAAAAAAAATATTATTAAAATTTTTAAAAAACAATAAACTAACTTTATTTTAAAAATTTTTATAGGGCAAAAATGCAGGTAAGAGAAAAAAAACAAGACAAATTAATCATTGTTTAAATAATTATTTTATTAATTAATATTTTTTTTTAGGATTTTCATGCATTGGAAGTCTTACAGAAGTTTTAGATGATCTTAAAACAATGTCGGAAAAGGATGTTGTAAGTTTGGTTGAAACTCGTTATAAAGGATTACAGCTTTTAAGAAAAAGATTAGGCGATCACAATATAGATTATAAGCAAAATGGTAGCTATGAATTAATAGATCCAAAATCAGATTTTGCAAAAGATAAAAAAGCCCTTTTAAAACATATAGAGGAAATTAATGACTTATTAAAACCAGTTCTCAAGGGCGATGCATTTTCATTATGCAGCGAAGAAGAAACAGCATCATTTAAATTTAGCCCAAAGATTTGCAAATATCTCATAAAGAACAATTTCGAAGGTGAAATCGATACAGGCAAGATGTTGAGACATTACACAGATTTAGCTATTTCATGGGGTGTTCATATTAAAACTGGTTGCAAGGTTATGGAATATAAAGATGATGGTGTTGGTTCAGTTTCAGTAAAAGTATTCAACCACACATTGGGTCAACCAATCGAATTTATAGGAAAGAAATTAGCCATTTGTACAAATGCATTCACAAAAGAACTTGTTAAAGACATCGATGTAGTACCAGGCAGAGGTCAAGTTATCATTACAAACCCAATTCCAAATCTTCATCTTCAAGGTATTTATCACTTTGATGAGGGTTACTATTACTTTAGAGAAAAAGATGGTTGCATTCTTTTTGGTGGCGGTAGAAATTTAGATTTCGAAGGTGAAAGAACTACAGAGTTTAAATCAAATAAAAAAATTTTAAAGAAATTGGACGAATTACTAAAAGAAATTATTCCAGGTGTTCCATATACAATTCAACAAAATTGGTCTGGTATTATGGCTTTTTCAAGTACCAAAGATAAGAAGCCAATCATAAATCAACACTCTAAAAATGTATATTTAGGTGTAAGAATGGGTGGTATGGGCGTAGCTATAGGTTCGGTTGTTGGCAAAATCTTATCAGATATGATGTTGGATGATCATTTTTCAATGAACACACATCCATCTTTTTTACGTTCAAAATTATAAACACAAAAATCAAAAAATCAATAAAATTTATATATAACACATTGTGAAATATTATAACACATTGTGTAATATTACCGATTCTTTCATTTTTTATTTTTTATTATTATTTTATTTTATTATTTAGTCAATCTATGATAAAAATTTTATTTATTTTTTACTTTTGAAGACTGGTTTTGAGATTATCATTTCCACAGGAATGTATAGTCCGGAAAAACATTTAAAGTTTCCGTGGCTATCCAAACATCTTGATTTAAATATTACAGAAAATTATTTTTTTTCAAATTTATAATGTATAAATTTTTTGGTATCATCTTTTATCTTTTTGTAGTACATGTTTGGATTTTTATCAATCTATAATAATTTCAATACAACCTTCTCATCCCTATGATAGAGGATCATTAATGAATAATAGAAATGATATATAAAAAATATTAAGCTTCCCACTTAAGTAAAGTGATTGCTTTAATATCTGGGATTTTTAAATAAAATTTCTGAATTTTTTTGTAAGACAAAAGAATTTTTTTTTTTGTAATAAATAATCGTTGCAATTTTTTTTTTTTTAAATTTGAAGATAGATAGTCAAACTTTTTTGATTTTCAAGAAATTTTTTTTTTTTTTAGACCCATTATACCACCAAATTCTCTTAACCCATTGGGATATTCTTTAAAATTTAGTGTCTAAAAAAAAAAAATTTTAAAAAAATTTTTTAAAATAATTTATATTTTTTCTAAAAATTTTTTTATTATTTTCATTCCTCCATAAATGGAAAATAAAAGAATAAACAATATTAATAACATCAATAAAATAGAAAATAAATATCATCCATATTCAAAAGGATTAAAAAATAATATTAATAAAATGAATGATGATATATTACCATTGCCACCAATAGTGTCATATAACGAAATTTTATTTTTTAAAATAATAAGGAATAAAACTATCTTCAAACACATTTTATCATTCTTGTGGGAAAAATCAGAGCTGAATATGGATTTGCTCACTATGGTAGAAAAAAATGAATATTCAATTATTTTAAACAAGTTAAAATCAAATACACCCATTATAGTTGATGAAAAAAGTATAGAAGTACTATGTGAAAACTACATTTACAATCCATATTTTGAAGAAATGTTTGATTTATTATGGAAGCAATATGGGGATAAATTAAAAAAATTAAATATATTAGAATCTATAGCGGGACAACAAAACCAACACTATTCATTAGATTTATTTAAATTTGTATATAAATATTTTAATAATAGCAACCAAACACATAAAATATTCACTTTATTAGATTTATGTTTAGAGTGTGAAAAACCAAATTATAAAATATTAAAACATATTATTCACACTTTAAAAAACAGTCTCATTAATACTAGTATTGGTGATTATAAAGTTCCCATTTTTACATTATTCAATGTTAGTGGTTTTTTTAAAGATGCAAAAAAGAAAATCAATCTATTTAAAGAATGCTTAAATATTGATATTAAACAAGAAACAAAGAAATTATTGGAAAAAGAAAATCAAATTTTACCCTACCTCGTTAATAGAACAGCTACTGAAGTGGCAGTAAAAGAAAATGGTTTTATAGATGAAGAAGCATTAGAATTATATTTAATTACAGTTAAAACTGGTAAATGTTATACAACCTTTATAAACCCAGATATGTTTTTTTTAAATCACTTCAATTTTTTATTATTATATTTATTAAGAGAAGAACTGGACAACCAAACTTTCAAAATGAATTTACTAAATAATTTAGAGTCATTTAATAACGATACCAGTTTGCTTTTATCAGCTGCAAAAGAATATCTAATAAAAAATAATCAAGAATGTAAAATTTTACGCTACATGGGGTTCTATATTGTTAATGAATTACTTCAACAAAGGAATTTTAACGAACTCGATGAATACATAGACGAATATCTATCAAAATATTCAAATGATGAGCAATTAGGGCTATTGATAAATTTTATTTTTCAATATTCTATTGTACATTTTTCTATTGAAACACTCAACTATTATATGAAATACATAGAACAATTTCATGGAGAAGATTTTCATAATTATTTAATAGGGGATCCAATACAACAACATTATTATGAAAAAGAAAAATTAAATCAAATAAACAAATCAAATATAATATTATTTTTAGAAGATTTAGTTTCAAAATTTAACAACGGATTTACGAGTAATAATTATTTAAAAGCAGCTTTATCTTTAATAATTAAAAACCATAACGGTGAAATTCTAGAGCTTATCTTTAACTCATTTAGTGGTAATGGAGCTATTAAAGAAGTTTATATAGATATGTTATCGAGTGAAACCCAGATATTGGTAAATAATCACTTTGAATCAGCTAAAAACGATATTATGGAATTAGATTTCAAGAAAATGAAAATCTTTATCGATCATTTTGATACTATTGAACATATAACAATTGATGAAAATTTCCAAATTGAAATTTCGAATAAACATTACGGTAAATTTTTAAATTTTTATTTTCAATATGCTTTTGGAAATCTCTTTACAGAATTTGATTCATTTATTATTATTTGTTTTATAAAATCAAGATTTTCAAGTATTGAACAGTCAATAGATATATATAATTCAATCGATAAAAATAATCTTTTAGTGTATTCAAAGAAAGAATTTCTTCATTCATCAATTTTATTAGAAAATTTATTAAAATCAATTAAAAAACAAGACATTGGTTCAATTAATAAAATATTAGCAGCAGTTTATAATCATAATAATAATTACATTAATAATAATAATAATAATAATAATGATTTTAAATTACCAGATTCATTTAATAACTCGTTAGAAATCATCAACTATTTAAGTTCAAAAGGATATTTAAACCACTTCAAATTAAAATATATCTTAAAATGGATCGATAAACATATAAATAATGTTCCTAAAGAATTTATCTTTAATTTAATACCATCAAACAACACTGATCTAATTAACTATTTTAATGAAAAATATTATAATACAATAACAATTAAATTTCATATTGATCAATCATTAGGTTTAGAAAATATATGTGACTCTTCAGAAAAAATCCATTATAACGAAATTGTAAATATTCAAAACAGTAAAAATGCAATCAAAGCTTTATATCATTGTTTTTATGAACCAGCATATAAATACATAAATAATAGTTTAGATAAATTTGTGGAAGATTTTAAAAGCTTAAGCAAGGAACAAAATTTTCTTAATAACGTTTTCAAGCTCTCATTAGTCTCTGCACCTTACCACTGGGTTATCAAATTCGATCAAATATATAAAAAAATTATGAAAAAAAGTATATATCTAGACTATATATTTAATTATTCAAATTATAAAGAAATTGAACATTTATGGAACAATCGTATTGAAGATAGAGATATATTACTAAATTATATATTTGGAATGGAATATGGCAATCCTTTGTACCTTAAAGACCCCGACGACTTTTATAACAAAATCCCATTAATAGAATACCTTTTAGAAAAAAAGAAAGAGTTTTTAATAGATTATTTTAAAAAACATAGAGTAAAATTTAGCGAAAAACTCTTTTTATACAGGTTTATTATATATGGCAATATTAAGATATTCAATCAACTGAAATCAATATTTATCATTATTGATCAATATTTAGAAATTGCTCTGGATTTTCCTCTAATGTTATCATTTTGTGAATTAAAATACATCCATTTTTGTGAAATACTCGAATTTCTTCACACAAACCAATTACTATCAAAAAAAAATATTAATTTCAAAAATTATAATTTTGTTGATTCTATTGAAGATTACAGCTCGCATGGGGGAGGCAGGGAGGTCATTAATTCTTTTTTAGTATTAAAATCTGTTGTTGCTCTTATAAATACTTTAAGACCTATAGAAGATAAATGAATTTTTAAAAAAAAAAAAATAAAAAAAAAAAAATATTCCAACTTAATTACTTTTAATTTATTCACGTTTTATTTTTTTTATAAGAATTATTTTTATTACTATTTTTATTATTATTATTTTAATTATTATTTTTGGTTATTGGTTATTTTTTTTATTCCCGTGGAAGTGTTGATGGAACTGGTTTTTGTTAATCTAATTGAACCGTTAAGAATTAATTTATTTCTATTTTATAGATACTATTTTATCAATTGTAAAAAAATTAGATACTAAATTATATCATGAAGAATTATATTTAATAAAAAGGAAAATGGTAAAAAATAAACATATTATTTATAAAAAATAAAATTTTATTATATTATATTTAAAAATTATATGATATTTCAGTTTCCTAATACTTAAAATATTTTCGATTGGTCTGATGGAGTTGAAAATTATTTCGTATACTATTTAAACTATGGCACAGTATTAATCTGTGGAAATGGTAAACATCTGAATCCTTTTTACTATTGATTCTATTTTCGTAATATATTAAAGCTAATTATTGATGTGATACTATATCACCTCATGCAAAAAAATTACATATAAAAAAAAAAAGTGGTTCGGAGGTGCATCTAAAAAAATTTTCCAATAAAAAAAAATTAATTTTTTAATTTTAATTTAAAACAGTTTAAAATTAAAAAAACTATAAAGGTAAATCCAACTGTTTTCCCACCATAAATTTTATAATGAGGGAAAACAGTTTTTTTTATCCTTTTAATTTAAATTAAAAATAAAATTAAAGTGATATAAACACCAATATGATGCCATTTAAAAAGATAAAAGAAGCTTTTTTGGGGAAGTTAAATTATAAAATTAAATTATTATGAGAACATTGTCAGGAATTTGCGGAGTGATTTTACAAAATTAAACCTTATTTTTAATAATTATTAAAAATATTTAAACTTTTTTTTTTTTATTTATTCATTATAATATATTTTGCTGAAATTGTAAAAATTAAAAAATTAAAAATGTTTTTCTTTACAGATACTAATATAAATGATATTGTAAGTATAATTTATAATTATAATCAATAACATTTACTAATTTGAATTTTTTTCTTAATCATTTTTTACTTATAGCATGATATGATTGCTGAGCTTGGTGGAAAAGAAGAAAAAGAAGTTACCTTTGAACAAGTTCATGACTATTTAAAGAATGTCAAAGACTGTAAAGATCCATTTTTTGTTGCAATATCAATATTTAGATCTTTAGACACAAATTGTGATAGTAAAATTTCTCTAAATGAAATCAAGACTCACAAATTATTAACCTTTGCCAAACAATGGGGAGGAATTCTTGAAAGAAACATTAATAAAATGTTATTAGAATATGATGATAACAATGTAGGCTCTCAAAATTTAAATTACTATATAATTTATAAGTTTACTAAAGTTTAATATTCTTAATAGGATAATGTAATCACTTGGGAGGAAGCACGTAATGTCTTCAGTACTGACCCAGATATAGGTGAAAATGGTTGTGAAATCAGCACTAAGAATCTTTTCCACACCATAGATTCTAATAAAGATAGGAAAATTACCAAAGATGAAATAAAAGCTGTAAGTTTATTTAATTTTATTTAATTCAGGTGTAAATTAAAATTTTACTAATCCTTTTTTTATTTATCACTAGTACTTAGAAAACTTGAAAAAATAGATATTTCCCCAATGAACCATGGATTGTTTATTCATTGGTTGCAAAATCATTAATGGTTTATAAAAAGTAATTAAATAAAAATACAATTGTTTTTTTTGAAAATTAAAAGTCTTAATTATTCTTTATTTTATAATTTAATTAAATAATTACTTTTATCAATATATTCCATTAACTTTTTTAGGGTTACAAAAATTAATGAGGGGGTAAATTAATATGAATAATTACAAACATATCCATTAAACTGGCAATTGTGGGAACATATTACTTTATATATAAATCACATTCATTTTTGAATAAAAATTAAAAAAATATTTTTATCTTATAAAACATTATTTCTATAATTACATGAAAAAATAACAACAATATATTTGTATAATTTCAAGATTGAGTTTAGAATATAATCCGTTGGGTAAATGAACTAAATAACCTGAGCCATAATAAACAATATTTCCCCCAAAACATTGCATTAATTTCACCCTTTCCAACACTTGCCTTAATATGCGATTCTAATAAAAAAATTGAAAATAATTTAAAAATGAATAGTTAACCCAAAAAATAGAAAAATAAATGTTGTTTTTATAATTAAAAGTTAAAAAGAAAAGAAAAGAAACAATATGATTAATTAATAAGTATTTATTTTTTTTTTTTTTTTTTTTTTTTATAAATATGTAATACTATTTTTTTTTAAAAAATTATTTGATAAAAATTTTAATTTGTTGATGTACCAACAACTGTAGTGGTTTGTTCTTGAGTTTGAATTACTTTTTCATTATTATTTTCAGTTACCTTTTGGGTTGTTTCAGAGACATATTGAGTGTTTGTATTTTCTGGAATTACCATCGATTCTGTTCTGGTAGTTGTAGTTGTTGTTGAGATTGGTTGGCCACTGATATATTGCTCAGATGATGATTGAGCGGGTCTTGAATTTTTATCACCTACAACAGCTTTATAGAATTGATTAGTTTTCTTTTTAAGTTCTTCTTTTGCGTCCTTGTTCTTCTTGTTCTTCTTCATCTTTCCTTTAATTTCAGAAACACGCGAGTTCATCTTGGATTGGAAACGGAGACGGTTTTGTTTGGCAACTTGGTATTTTCCAACCATCTTGTAATCGGTTTCGGCAATGATCTTTGCTACTTGTTGAGCAACAGCTTTTTCAATTTCAAATTTGATTCTATTCTTTAAAAGTGAAGTAAAGATTTTGTAGATGAAACTATGTTTGCAGTGATAAAGTTTAACCTTGAATGAATCTAAAATACAATATGAATCTAAAACTTGTGTTTTTCTTTGGAGACCATCTTTTAAGAGTCTAATTTCAACACCAACACGAGCACCTCTTCCATCCAAAAAAATATCTGCTAAACCACTATCTTTTAGTCTTGGGAAATTGAATTTTTCATATTCCCAAGTTAAACTATCTATACGAGCACGAATGGCAGTAAGCTCTACCCAAACAATGGTATCTGGATCGATAATTGAAAGTGTATATGGATCAGCATTAGTCTTGTGGGAAATTTCAAAATGAATATTTTCTGGGAGTAATTCTATTGATGAAAGGTTGATGGCACCAATACGGTAACCTAAGTTTCTATCTGGAGTAAGACCCATTTGTGGTGGGATTGTAATAGTTCTAAATTCTTCTAAGAGGAATGGTACCAAAAGCATTTTGAGTTGACCAGCCAATCTCATATTACCAGCTGCAGTGTGGGTATTTAAATCAGCAAGTAATGATCTAAAGTGGGTCCAAAGACGTGAGTTGAGTTCATCAGTTGCAATACCCTCTTTAAGACGACCAGATTCAGCAGCAAATTTCTGAAGGGCTGGTGATTGTTTAGTTTCGGTAATTAACTGTTCAGCCTTAGCATATAAATCACGCATGGCTTTTCTAAAGGCTGGATCTTCGATAAGATCTGGATTTTCCATTAATTCAATTGTAAGATTTCTAAAGTCCTCCATGAAAACACTATAACCCTTATTCTTTTGGAGCTCGTCGATTGATTGACCACCATATTTGAATACCATATCAACATCAGCAACATCTTTGTTTTTGATAAATGATTGAATTAAGATTTTGAGTTTATCTGTCATTGAGTTAAAGTGTTGATTGCCTTTAATAGTGTCAATCTTGGTTGAGGCATTCTTTGATTCAATGGCACTGGTCTCTCTAACTTGGGAACCGAGAGTTTTAGAGTTGAGTACGAAATCACTCCAGGCTGGGTTACCAGATAGTACTCTAAAGACTTTATAGAATTGATCGAAAACGACTTCTCTTTGCTCATCCAAGAATTGTGAGTTTTTGTCGAGGACAATCATTTGTAAGAATTTGCTACCTTCAGAGAGGAATCTAAAAATTGACTCACTACCCTTAAGATCGGATACAACTTTGGAGGTTGAACGAAGGATACCTTTACTTTCGGAGCCAGTAGCCAATTTGATGAATGTAGTTTTCCAATCTTCTAAAAGCACTTTTAATTCGTCATCGTTAGAAATATCACCAGAGAATAATCTAGCCTCTTTGAAAAGATTAATAAATTGTTGATCGGTTTGACGAGTTTCAACCATGAGAATGAGGTCAGCAAGAATATTTTTGATGTCATAAATTACTTTTTTTGTTGGATCATCGGCTTTTTCTCTAAAGATACGAGTCTCCATGAGTCTTTCTAAACTATTGTAGTGACGTTTCAATAAATCCAAATTTGAAACATTTGTTGAAGTTGCATTAACTGGGATACCATTTGCATCGAGCTCTGGTGCAACAATATTTGGGTCCATATTTCTAATATAATCTTTTCTGTATTCTAAACCACTAATCTTTGGTTTTGATTTTGTGTGAACTGTAGCCTCAGTTGTACTTGATCCAAGCTTTGGTGATCTTTCATAAACTGATTCTTTACCATGTTTCTTTGATGTTTTTGGTGGGTTGCCATAGCTGTCAACATATGCAACGGGGGATTTTGAACTACTACCAGATTCAAAATATTCTCTTCCTTTTGATTTTGTCATTTTTCTCTTTATAAAAAAAATTCTATTTAATAGTTGTTTTATTATTTTTATGAAATTATTTAATTTTATAGAATATTATTATTTAATTTATATAAAAAAAAAAAAAAAAAAAAAAATTAAATTAATAAGCTGTGGTAATTTTAAAATAAATAAGTTTTTATAATAAATAATAAAATTGTTATTGTGATATTTAAAAAAAAAAAAAAAAAAGAAATAAAAAATTATTTATTATAAAATAAATAAAAAAATAAAAAATAACTATTATTTGAATATTGTTTCAACAAATATTATATTAATTAAAATTTAAAAGTAATAATGATGATTAAAAATTCTATAGATTTTTTATAAAAAATATTAAACTCTATAATAATATTACATTTTTTTTTATGCTTGTTTTTTTTTCCTAAATATTAATTCTATTAGCCACTACTATTATTACTATTACTAATGATTATAATTTTATATATATAATATTATTTTAGTATTATTGCTATAATTAATTAATTTCCTATTGTTATTACTATTAAATTAAATAAATAAATAAAAACCAAATAAAAAAAAATATAATATAAAAAAAAAGAAACAATAAACTAGTGTTGATTGTGTGAAAAATAATAAAAACTATAATATTAAAAGAAAATAAAATAAAATAAAAAAAAATAAAATGAAAATCAACTTATTGTTGAATAGTAAAACACATAAAATAAATTTAAAAAAAAAAAAAAAAAAATTAATGTTAATTATTTGACTTTTTTGTAGAAATATCCGAATAACATTACTATAATTACTTTTTAATTGAGACAATAAAGTGAATGTACTATATTAAAATAAAAATAATTGAATAAAAAAGAATAATTATTAATTTTCATTCCCTATCTAGCAATTATACAAGATTTTTTTTTGAAACACACGCCACACCACACACCACACACATAAAATATCATTGAAACTATTTTTTTTCTATTTTATTTTATTTTATTTCCACATTGATTTATTAATTTTAACCCACTACCACACATTAAAATAATAGTAAAATTTCACATTATTTCTTCTGTTATATACAAGTAAAAAAACCCACATTCTACCACATTACCACTACTTTGCCTTTCCTAATATTTTACTATATACTCTAATTGGTTAATAAAATTAATTAATATTTTATTTAATTATTCGATTTATAAATTAATTATTAATTATTGCATTCAAAAAAAAAAAAGGGTATATCAAAAAAAAAAATAATAAAAAAATAATAAAAAAAAATAAAGATCTATATTGAGTATAAAATAATATGAGAAAAAGATATGATGTTCACAAAAACAAGGTTTTGATTAAATTAAGCTCACTTTAAAAGACAATTATTTCATTTTGTTTTAATTATTTCACGATTAATTAAAAAAAATAAATAAAAAAATTTATAAAAAAATAAAATAAAAAATAAAAAATGATTTTTTTTTTTTTTTTTTAATTTTTTAATTTTTTTTTTTAATATTTTTTATTATTTTAAAATTAAATAAATATTATAATATCATAAAATCATACTCCTTTATTTATTTATATTTTATATATAGTTTTATTTTAATTATTTAATTATTTATTTATATATTTTAAATTATGAATTTAAGTGGAGGTATCAACAGGTTAAATTCAAGTACAAACAATTATAGATACAGCGGTCAATATAGTGAAAGCGATTATGATCAGTCAATTGATGAAACACCATCAGAAAGTGGTGATCAAGAACCATCACATAAAATTCCAATTTTAGAATATCCATCATTTCTCAGTCAACCAGGTGAAGAAAAACCAACTACCGATAATGATGAGGATTTAGAGAATGTTATTTCAAATTATTTATTTTATGAAAAAGATGTTGATGTTTTAACAGAAAGATTAGGTAAAACATTATCGACATTGGAAACTGTAAGGATTTTAATATCATTATAAACAACACAACTGAATAAATTTTAATTTCTTTTTTTTTTTTTTTATTTAGGAAATGATTGTTGGTATTTTAGATTGTAATAAAGGTGTTAATGATATTATTGGTCAGTTAGCAGATAAAGATGGAACTCATTTAACAGGTGTAACTGCATGGATCGAATATTATAATGATAGACTTCAAGAAATGAAAAGATATATAGAACATATTGAATCAAAGAATAATAAAATGGAAATTGTATCAAGAAATCAGAGATCACTTTATTCAGAATTAAATAACTTAATAAATTTAATGACACTAGACGAAAAAACTATTAAAACACTTAATGCACCTCAATTTAACGATACACTTGGTTTAGAGCAAGCAATTAAAGTAGCAAACGAATTAAAGAGAGCATTGACAACAAAATTAAAAAGTGGTATGGAAAATATGGTTGCTGTCAAAGACCAAAGAAAAGTTTTTGAAACCTATAAAATCTCATTTGCAAGAAAAGTAGCCACATTAATCGATAATATTTTTAAAGCACCCGATAAAGAAACTACAAAACCATCAAGTGAAGAAGAATTCCCCGATCATAGTGAATACTATAGAGTTTTAAACCACTTTAAACCATTAGTTCATTGGCTAAAAGAAATGGATAATGAAAAATTTATCCCAATCGTTGCACTATACATCAAAGCATATCGTCCAACCTATAAACACGAAATTAAAGATTTCTTTTCAAACTTACAACACTCTCTTATCAAAGAAACCAAAGACCAAAATGACTTTTTCTCTTCCTCCTCATCGTCTAAAAAGAGTATTGATCACAACTCGAATCCACCACAAACCCCAACAAAAAAAGATCAAGGTAAAAAACGTACAGTCGATAAACTATTTAGATATGCTTTATCGTGTTTAGAGAGCTATATAATGGCAAAGCAAAACTTTGTAAAAGATTTCTTCCTCTATCAAGACCCTCCAAGAATTGCAGGTCATCATCACCATCATCACCATCACAGATCCGATAGAAAAGATAGAAAAGACAAGAAAGATAAAAAAGATAAAAAAGATAAAAAAGAAAAGAAAGATAAAAAAGATAAAAACAAAGATTCAGATTCTATTGACCAGACAACAAATGATGATACATTAACCTCACCAAATGGTGGTACCGCCACATCACCAAATAGCCCACCACAAGAATCAGTAGATGCACCATTGGATCTAATTTTATCAGAAATGTTTGATGGGGTAGTTGGAGAACTTTGCCAATTAGTCGAAAAAGCCGATCAAATCAATCCATTTTATCATTTAACAATGTTGGTCGATACTGAGCAATACATTTCAGCCCATTCAAACAAAGACTCTGAACACAGCTCATTCCTTATTAAAATTCTCTCTGAGGTCCAAAAATCAATGAAAACCTTATTCAACAAGTTTTTAGATGTTCAAGTTGATGCCATTAAATCAACTCAAGTATCATTAAAGAGATGTGGTGTTTTAGCACATTTTAAGAATTTCCCAGTTTTTGTAAAAGAGATTGAAAAATATAGATCCAAAAACGAAGAGGAATCAATTACTTCATTAATCAACTCATCATACTTCAAAATTGTTGTAAACCTATTTAATTGGTTGGAAGGTCTTGTTGAAAAATTACCAGATGATGAAAAAACAGGAAAATATAAATTTATTTCAAAATTAGGTAATATTTATTTTAATTATTGAAAATATAATTAGATTTCAATTACAACCAATATTAATACTAATATTTATTACTATATAGAAAACTATTATTATTTTACATTAAAAATGGAAGAGTTAAATATTAAATGTTTAGAACAATATAGAGAAACATCAAGTAACAAATATCAAGAAAATTTAAAAATTTATATAGATTATTTAATAGATTTGAAGTTTAAACCACTTTGGGAATTTTATTCTAAAATGGATGAATTACTTTTAACCTTACCACCATCAGATATTCAATTTCAACAGTCACATTCAAAACAACAATTTAAAAAAATTGTTGAGAAATTCAAAACTGAAAATGTAATAGTTAAATAATAATGATTATAATAATAATTATAATGGTAAACTAACCAATTATTCTTTTTTAAAATGTATAGATTGATAAAGGTTTATTAAAAGCTTTATTAAATATTCAAAAAAATATTTCCAAAGAGACAAATTTAATTCTTTTTGTTTGGGAACAATTAGAAGATTCATTTATCGAAAAATATGATCACTTCCAAGAGATTACCCAACAATGTTATAATCAAACTATGCCTGTAAACTCTGATCAAATCAGAGGTATATTTGCAAATGTATACAAAAAGAATCCAAATAAAAAATCTTAAAACCAATACAATAAATTAAATAATAAATAAAAAAAGTTTTTTTTAATTATTTTTTTTTATATACACTATATAAAAAAAAAAAGGGTTAAGCAGTGCTTTTCTTTTTAATCTTTATTAATTTAATGATTTTTTTAAATGTTGGAAAAAAAAAGAAGAAAAAAAAAGTTGCTGAATGTAATGATTATTATTTATAAAAAAAAGTATATTGTTGAAATAAATAATTATTGTTTTACTATTATTATTATTGGTATGAGTAACCACTATTGCCATCACTACTGCCAATAATAATAGTGGCATTATTTAAATTTTCAAACTTTTTGGTTCTGTGGACTGTTGAAGTACTATTGTTTTGTGTTAATCGGTTGCCCCTGTGGTTGTATTCATCATCTCCTACATAACTATTATTGTGCTGGCTCCAATCATTCGTTTGATTTTGTTGAAATGTTGAATTTGCTGTGTAACTATTATTGTTGAAAGTTGATGGTTTGCTGTTATTATAGTTATTATTATTATTATTATTATTATTATTATTATTATTAAATTTATTTGGTAATATCATAATTTTTTTATTATTAACGCAATAGTAAATATTAAATAAACATAATGTCGAATTACACCTTGATATAAATCTATTAATAAAAGAAAAGTGGTTAATATGTTTAATATTATAATAATATCGATATATTAATTAATACATACAAAAATGGGTCATCAATACTGAAATATGTTATGACTGAAAAAATAAATGATAAAAATAAAATAAATGATGGTAATAAAAGTAAACTATATTTAAAAGTTGTTAATAATTTTAAATTGGTAGAGGGCTGATTATCTCGATTTTGGAAAACATCAGTATTATATAAAGGATCAGCTTGTTGTTGCTGTTGTTGTGTTAATTCTTGTTGATTGGTAATATCATCAGTGGTGGTTGTTGTAAAGGTTTCAATTGGATTACTAATGTTATTATTTATATTATTTGTTGAATTATATTCAGCTGACCTATAACTTGAGAAAACCCATATAAATGAAACAATAAATAATGCTAATAAAAACAATGCTAATCGAAAATAAATTTTTCTTTTTTTCTGTATATTTGCTATGGTTTGATTAATTGTTGTTTCAAATATATATATATCTACATAAAAAATAAGAAAAAATTAGGTTTATATTACCTTTACCTATATATTATTTAAATGTATTTACCTTGTAGTTGAGTCACCTTATCAATTGGAAGGTTCATCTTCTCTTTTAAAAAAAAAAAGATATGTATATTATATTTGCCTAGTTTTTATTTAATTTGAAAAAAAAAGAAAAAAAAAATAGTTTTTTTTTACTTTTTTTTTTTAAAAGTTTGGAAATTTTTTTTTTAATACAAAATAAATAAATAACAATGATTGTTGGTGGTAATGGTACTACTATATAATTT